ACATGGAAGAGAACACATGACAACAATGCCTTAAACTCTCGCTTATCTTTTTAAACATTCCTAATAAAGTCATCCTAGCGTTGCTTTGACTGCTCAGCAATGTCGAGAAGGACCCAGGTCCTTTTGCTCTGACTATTTCACTATCCTTAGCATGCTGGCCATTAATTTTTCAATATTGCCTCGCAGTTGCAAATTGGCTACCACAGATCCAGGCATCATCGTATCTTCAACTGGCAGTGCTGCATGCAGAAAACAAGTGGTTGAGGTAAAAAAAAAAAAAAGAAAGAAAGAAAAATTTAATTGCTCTCTTTCATGAGCCTCAATCTCTTTATACAGAGAGGCAAATCTTTATCAAAGGCTCAGAAGATTGCTTTTTACCTTTCATTGGCCCCTGCCCAACCTTAGAACAACATTGGCAAAACAAATCTAAGCCTTTCATGGATTAACCCACTGGGAATAAGCACATCTCTGCCAAAACAAAATTAGAGTGCTTTAGAAAGGGAAGTAGGAAGCTAGATACTGAGTAGACAACTAACCATGCCTACCAGCCATCACCCAAACTGACTTTGAGAAATGTGTCACTGGATTATCTGGGCTTCTTTGATCCTTCCTCCCTTCCTTCCTCCCACTACTAAGGAGCATTTAAGTAAAATCACAATGTGGCATAATTCTAAGAGCGAGTGCCATTTATCCCTTCTGTGTACAGTCTAGTCCTTTAATAAATGTAATAAGGAAGTAGATATCTCTCTCTCTGAAGCTGTAGAAAAATAAATCTGAATAAAGAAACAGCTGAGTTACTGAAATGCTGTATAAACTACATCATGCTTTTTTATTTGTTTACTTTGCCATTTCAGCTCTGCTTTATTGAATTCTGGGTTGCTCGGTTGCTTCAATGGATAGTTGATGCTGTAAATTAAGTTCCCAAGCCTCTCTGTCAAGAAGCAGTCCATTCAGCATTTATTGAGGGCCAGCTGTCTCTAGCCACTTGAGAAGAGTTGCATATGGAAAGCAACCCTGAAAATTCCAGGAGAAAATCTTGAATCATATAAACATATCTATAATATAGTTTTGATTCTCAGGTATAGAGTTTTCTTAGAGCAAGTCAGTCTTTCAAATTATACATATTTAAATAATGCTGTGTTCCTTTATTTCCCTATCAATCTAATATCCCCCTTTTGTTAGGTTTTGTTCCGTCCCCTTTAATAGTGACTCTATTTATCGGAATCTATCTGTTTATTCCTCATTTTTCAAGTTTAAGCTAACAGATGGAGAGACAAGTTTCTTACCAACATCTGTGCAGAAACGCTTTACCTATAGCTCCTGCTGCGAGTAAAACTGACTTTAATTGTAGGGTATTTGAAAATTTCTCTCACAGGTGCTGCAAGTGCAAGTTTTCAGTGTGAGAACAAGTTCTCACCTAGGCTCTCACTGTCAGGTACATTCGTGTTCCAAACAAATCACCCTCACCACTAGAGCAGCGGTATAAACAGACCCTTGACAGTAAACCACAGTTTTGATATCACAGATGTTTATAAGAGTCTGTTTAAGATTACTGGAAATTTTTATGTGTGTGGCATTATATTAATCATATAACTCCACCTAAAATAATTAAGAATATTGATTGCATTTGCATTCATTGAGTACAAAGAGCCCATTACCTAGAAAGACTCTAGAGAGACTAAACTGTGGCTATAAATTGTATAACACCATTTTCACTCACATAATAATGAGATTTTAGTAACATCTGGGTATTAGATTAACGAGTTTTCCTGATAATACCCAAAACTAAAGTGAGTACCCTATTACTCATAGCAGGCATGTGTGCATCACACCTGCACACCCCTAAAGTGACAGTCATAGTCCTTCCATGGCTCCTTTCCCTCTGCCCACCCCTGGGATGTTGGGATCCCCAGTGCCCGGCACCCCCCCAACCCCCGCAACCCTCAGCTCTGTTCTCCCTGTGAGTCTCACCTATGGCTAGAACTTCAATCATGATTTAAATGTCAGTGGATCCTAAGTCTGTGTCTCTCTTTCCAGCCTGCTCATCCCCTTTGACTTTAAGGACCATCCTTCCACCTTCCTTCTATGTAATCCCTGTATATTCAGGGATCGGGGATTAGCCTACACTCAGACAAACCTGGACTCAATTTTTTATCATATAAATTTATTTCAGTGTTCACTAACCATATTCAAAGCATTGCAATAAATTCAATAAACTGGGATTGGAAACCTTATTATCCCAAATCCCTCTATGTCCCTTAATCACACTCTGAAATCATTCACAAATATCTGAAGTGTCTACTCTAAAAGCATGCATATATGTCTGACCTTTTAGTTCTCACTATCATAGATTGATTTCAATTCATCATTCTTCATATGGGTTTTGGTAAATATGTTTAAAACCGGTCTCCTTGCTTCCAATCACTGCTATGGCCAGAAACATCCTCTCTGCCCCACTTCCATGTGATAAATATTTATTGAACACCTGCTGTATGTCAGGGTTTGGGGTGTGCATTGAGTAGAGAGTGCTGAGCAAATCAAAACCCACTACTCAGTGAACTTAAACTCTAGCTCAGGAGATAAGCTAGCAATTACATAAACAAACAATCCACAGGGGATGTTTGGGTAAAGAAAAACTAGTGGGGAGTGCTATGTATATAGAGCGGTCAGAGAGGAGGTATCATTTAAAATAAGACCTCTAGAAAGGGAAGAAACCAGTCACAAAGAGATTCAAAAAGAAGCACATAACAAAGGTCCAATGCTGGAAGGAAGCCCATAGTGACTGGGGCCTTGTATACAATGGGGTGGTTGTATGAGACAAGGTGGGAGAGGTAAACAGAGGTGAAATCACTCACAGCATCACAGCCCCTGATTACAAGGCTGAATCAAATGTGAAGCAAAATTGGGAGCTGGGGAAGGGTTTTAGGCAAAGGATTTTACATTCTTTAAAAATCACCAGAATTGTTTACCAATCCCAATATGAGGGTCAATCCTCTGCATCAAAAAAATTATATGGCTCCTGATGAATGGAGTGACCACATTTCCAGCATGCTCAGGAGTTGGTTTCCACCTGTCGTCCTAGTATAATCATTAACAGTTCCCTACTTTCACTCTCACAAGGGCCCTAGGGAGACAATAAACTGTATGGTCAACTTAGTGATAGGAAATAAACTAAAACAGTCCTTGGGCTGTCATTCAAGGCCCTTCTGAACCTGGTCCCAATTCACTTCTCTTCCTTTCTTCCTCATGGTGTTCTGGTCACTTCTGAAATGTAATGCTGACAGTATCCTAAATGGCACATGTATTCTTTACTGCTCTGCCTTTGGTCACGTTCCTGCTTCTTGCTGCACGCTCCGTGACCATGCCTAGTAGACAGAACCTTGAGGGCCAGACCTGAGAAGTCTTCAAAACCAGGCAGAATGAATGGCTTCTTCCTCTGTGCTCTGTCGGTATCTTTATTAAAGCATTTATCACACTGGGTTAATTATTTATAGGTCTATCTTCCCTGCTAGAATGGTAGGTACTTAATGGCAAGGACAGCACCTCCTCTTACGTGTTTTTTGGGTTCCCACCACCCACTGCATACCTGGTACATAGCTGGTACATGATATATGATTGCTAGATGAATTATTTAATATAAATGCAACATAACATACATAGTAAAATAATAAGGTTAACTAAAGAGATTTTAAATTTTATCCAGTAAGTTAAAACATTATTGCCTTCACATCTAGATATTTTCATTCTCCAACTTCATCACAATAGCGAATGTAGCCTCATTCATCAGGAAGTAACAATAAACGTTTAATGAATGACTACAAGTAAAAAAAAAAAAAAATCTTTATAGGGCAAGAAGTCTAGTTTTAGGAAACTAAACAATTTCTAAATAATTGTGAAGATGAAATAAACCAGAATTGGTATAACCACTGTGGAAAATGGTATGGAGGTTCCTCAAAAAGTTAAAAATAGAAATATCATATGATTTAATAATTCCACTATTATATATTTACCCAGAGAAAACTAAAACCCTAACAAGAAAAGGTTTATGCACCCCTATGTTATTGCAGCATTATTTACAATAGTCAAGACATGGAAGCAACCTAAGTGTCCATCAATAGACAAATGGATAAGGAAAATGTTATACATACACGCAGACACACACACACACACACACACACACACACACACACACACACACACA